TCATTCAGATGGTGACATATAGTGTGAGCTGACACAGTTGTACCCTGTTCCTGAAAGTCGGCTTGAATTTGTCTGGAAGTTGATCGAGGCTCTTTATTCACCATTCAGATAATCCTTTGTTGCAATCTTTGATCAAGTTTTTTTTTTTTTTTTTTTTTTTTTTTTTTTTTTTTCTCTTTTGTCCACGTCCAGGGAGATTAGCTACAGTGGCTAAGTGGTTAGCACTTTCTCCTGGCAGTACTAGGGTCGTTGGTTCTAATCCCAACCACAGCACCACCTGCCTGGAGTTTGCATGTTCTCCCTGTACCTGCGTGAGTTTCCTCCGGGTAATCCGGTTTCCTCTCATGCTCCAAAGACATGCTGGAAGGTTAATTGGCACCTGTCTAAAAATTGTATGTATGAATGTGAGTTGGGGACCTTAGATTGTACAACCCTTGAGGGTTAGGGACTGATGTGAATGTACAATATATATGTAAAGCGCTGTGTAAAATGACAGCACTATATAAGTGCCTGAAATAAGTAAAGTGCCATGGGCTGTAAACACACAGGAACATTAAGATCTGTTAATTGATACAGGTGAGTTTAATTACAAATTACAGGAGCATCACAAACTTGGAATGCAATTTTGTTTCTTATAATTTTGTCCAGTCCATTTTGGGGGTTATGTGTGGAATATCTCAATTTTGGATTTTTTGTTTCTCTAACTTTTTTTTTCTTTTGTTTGTATTGGTAAAACAAAAAAATTAAACAGAAGAATGCCTAAACATTTGTAATTGCAGCATATCTCTGGGCAAAGCGATGCATTATCTGACAGAAATGCAAGTGTGTGTATGTGTGGTGGTGTGTTGTTTATAAAAAACCTTACACATGCTTTACAATGTTGCAGTCTGATCACTGTGGGACAAGAGACTGAAGGAACGCTTTCTCCTGCCTGCAACGGACTAATTTTAGTCTAGGCAAAGGCACTGACTAGAGCTCAAGGATTTCTTTTTAACAAAATTATATACAGCTTTGTTGCAAGATCATGTAAAATAAAAAAAGAATATATATTCTGTCAAACTTGTAAAGCTGCTGAAAGGCCACTTTAAAATACCAAGTACACAAATGATAACTATTTCATCATCTATACCAAATACAGTATCTATACGGAGGCTGGCTTATGTAAATGTTTGACCTGGAGCCCACAACTGTTGTAGAAATTGTGAAAAGCCCTGTGAAATTTAAAGGCTACGTTAACCTTTTCCAAAAACCATCCTATCGTGAAAAAAAAAAGAGAAAAAACCCCCCCAAAAAATATAATTTTCAGCAATGCCCAAAAAGACTGTTACCATTGCAGTCACATCCTACTTCTAAAGGTGTGTTGTGGTGTGTGTTTTTTTTTTTTTTTTTTTTTTTTTTTTCCCCTTTTCTCACCCTGCACATTTAATTTTTTTTTTTGTGCCCTTGTTCTACATACCTGCTGATATCTCTTCTTCCCGCATCATATCTCCCTAGGTTTTAGCACAATCCTTCTGTAGTCCTCCCATTCTTTTTCATATTCAGGGCACAAGGGGTTGTGCAAATGTAACTGCCTGTAGAACTGCATAAGGTGGTGGAGTGGAGGATGGCAATTTCTCCTGTGGGAATACATGGGACACGTGCCTACTTTAGTCTTAAGAATAAAAAGGTTTTTTTTTTTTTTTTTATTTTTTTAAGTCGTTCTCTGTATTTCCCAGGTCCAACTACTTTAGTGCAGGGCCGTAGTCCAAATGGAAATCTGTCAGAGTACTCTGGGTTCTGGCTACCTTTTGGTGTTAATGTGTATATCTGGTGCTGTGTCCATTTCTACCTGCCCCCCCCCCCCCCCCCAAGGCACTGGGACAGTTCTCCATGTGCTGCAGTCAAAGTGGCTGCCATGAGATGTCCCTGACCCCTCAAAAAAATACACCTAAACCGTTCCCCATATTGTGCAGTTACTCCTAGAGTCCTAGACTTTTTTGCACTATACTGGCCAGTTTTATCTGTCACTCCTCTATTGGACACCAGCTGCCATGCAACTCTTTTATACCCTAGCCCAGGGGTCTGCAACCTTTAAGACATAAAGAGCCACTTGGACCCGTTTCCGAGAGGGGAAAAAAAGACTGGGAGCCGCAAAACCATTGCAACATTTAAAACAAATCCGACACTGCATATATTGCAAAAAAGCGCTCTGGTCATGAAGGGGGTTTAAGGGCCCAGTAAGCAAAGGGTTAATCAGGGCCACAGTGTTCGTCATAATCATAGCCTTAGGTCAGTGGTGGGCAACCTTTTTTTTTTCAACGGAGCCAAATCTCGCCAAAACCACGATTGAAATTTTATTTTGAGAGCCACATTTTTAAAACTGAAAAAATACATCCCCCATATATAATTCATCCCCCATAGTAATTCATCCCCCATAGTAATAGTAATCATCCCCCATATAGTAATTCATCCCCATATAGTAATTCATCCCCCATAGTAATTAATCCCCCCATATAGTACCGTATTTTTCGCCGTATAAGACGCACTTTTTCTTCCCCAAAACTGGGGGGGAAATGTCAGTGCGTCTTATGGGGCGAATATGGAGCGGACTGGTCCGGTATTTCCACCGCGGCCGTGTCAGAATACCGGGCCGGGCCGCTCAGCTCTGCAGCGGGACCTTACCTGTTCCTCTATCCAGCGGCGTGCTGTCTTCCCGGCTTTTATAGTGTGAGCACTGGCCATGACAGCCGGGTGCCAAGTGCGCATGCGCAAGAAGCGGTGCTTTTTGTGAATGGTAAGGCGGTACCTGGGACACATGACAGATCCCAGAAGCCGCCGGACCAATCACAAAGCGCAAGTGCTTCTCGCTCATGCGCACTGGGCACCCGGCTGTCATGCTGAGCGCCATTACAGAAGCCGGGAAGACAGCGCGCGGCTGGATCGAGGAACAGGTAAGATCAAACAAAAACTCTGCAGAAGTAAGAGCGGGTACCTGTCAAATTCAGGTACCCGCTCCCCACCTCCCCAAAGGTCAGCAGTCATCTGTACTGTCCGCAGTCTCTGGTCATCCCTGTTCTGTCCGCAGTCTCTGGTCATCCCTGTGCTGTCCGCAGTCTCTGGTCATCCCTGTGCTGTCCGCAGTCTCTGGTCATCCCTGTGCTGTCCGCAGTCTCTGGTCATCCCTGTGCTGTCCGCAGTCTCTGGTCATCCCTGTGCTGTCCGCAGTCTCTGGTCATCCCTGTGCTGTCCGCAGTCTCTGGTCATCCCTGTGCTGTCCGCAGTCTCTGGTCATTCCTGTGCTGTCCGCAGTCTCTGGTCATCCCTGTGCTGTCCGCAGTCTCTGGTCATCCCTGTGCTGTCCGCAGTCTCTGGTCATCTCCTGTACTGTGTCTGCAGTCCATTAGTTCAGAATTTTTTTTTTTTTCCTGTTTTCTGCCTCTAAAACCTAGGTGCGTCTTATGGTCAGGTGCGTCTTATACGGCGAAAAATACGGTAATTCATCCCCCCTATAGTAATTCATCCCCCATATTAATTCATCCCCCATATTAAGTCCCCAAGTCCCCCCTGTGTCAATTCACTTTACCTTTGCTCCGCGCGTTCCTCTCGCCATGTTCCCGCGCCGTTCCGGTGTAGCATGAAAATCTGTCTCCTATGAGGATCTGTCCCCCTCGATGTATCTGCGCATGTGCCAGTCTCAGGCATTAGCAGCCGATCGGTGATCTCCGGCACATGCGCAGATACATCTAGGGGGACAGATCCTCATAGGAGACAGATTTTCATGCTACACCGGTCTTCAGGGCGGACTGTGAGAGGAGCCTAGCGGGAGCCTAGCTCCGCGGCCGGATTAAAAGGTCTGCCGGGCCGTAGTTTGCCCATTGCTGCCCTATTGCCTGTCACCTGGTGGGCAGTGTGCTCCGGAGCCGCAGCCAAGGTGAAAAAGAGCCGCATGCGGCTCTGGAGCCGCGGGTTGCCGACACCCGCCCTAGACACTCATATTTAATCCAAATGGCCTTAAAAGGTCAGTGTAGGGTATTGCAAGGAGCTGGACCTATCACACTCATTCCACCCATGATGGGGGTGGCACCATGCATTTACAAACAATCCAGACAGACACAGAAAATCCCTAAGAACAAATCAGTTTAACAGTGCAGCACGTATTTTCCCCCAGCTCAACTCATGGACTTCTAAGGAAGGCAGAATATTATGTAAGAAAAGGTTGCTTACCTGCCAGTAGTTTATATTCTGTGTTCCTGAAAAGTCCCTGAATGTGTTCAGCTGCTCAAGAAAATTCTTTGTCTACTCCTGGCTAGGGCCCACCAAGCTGTTGCAGAAATGTAAAGCCCTGTTCTTAGGGAAGGAAGCCCATGAATGCGATGAGAAATATTTCACACAGACCGGAAAATCTGTGAACAGAATATTTGTTTACAAGTTTAGCTGTTTTGTATACATTCATTAGGAATGGATTACTCATTAGTCAGTAGAGTACAAGAAGGGGCAGCAAAAGTATTGAGTATTCTGCAAACATACCATTTTTGATATGCAAATGACACTTTTTTTTTCCATCAGGCAGTGTCTGCCAGAGACCCTTGAAGACAATAGGACTTCTTATTTATTATTATTATTATTCAACAGTATGCGCAGCGCTTTACAACACAAGGACAGACAGTACAGTTACAATACAATTCAATACAGGAGGAATCGGGGCTGTGCACCATCACATACAATGCAGTTCTTGCCCCTCCCTTGCACTGGTGACATTTCAAAACAGCCTAAATACTTTGCACATTAATTTCTGCAGCTACAGATTTAAAATAATCATATGAACGCGTTAACCCACATGGAAGAAAATGACAAGAAGCATGAGTAAATGCTGCAAAAGTAAACCAACTTTTTTTTTTTTTGTGCTATTTTTTTGTTTTTTCTTTAAGAAAATTATGCATTGAAAAATAATATGCAATATTAAAATGGCAAGAGGATTATGGAATGCAGTGATCCCCATTAATCTCTTTGTGTTTCTCTAGGTTAACTGTAATGGCTTTACCATTGAAGACGAGGAGCTGTCTCACTTAGGATCAGCTATTTTCCCTGAGTATGTTGTTTAATTGTGAATATTATTATGGTGCAGATGGAGCATATATTATAATACCTTCAGATGTCTTTTTGCCTGTATACTTAGTGTCAATCCATCTGAAACATATTGTAGGTTGTGGTGGTTAGGAAATCTAATTAAGGCAAAACCTTCCTTTTTTTTTTTTTATTTTTTTTTTTTGTGCCCCCATTAATGAGATGCACCCTTTAAACTTTAATGAAAATCTAAAAATTTGTGTTGTCACCAGAGCAGAAATAAAGGGGAAATCTTCCAATTAGAACACTATTTTTTGGTGACAAACAGGTATTCCCCTCACTTGGGGGGTGGGGGGCGGGGGGCATAATCTTGGTCCACTGTTATCACCATTAGGATATCTAGCCTGAGAAATGCCATGCAGTAATCCATGGAGCACATGTTAGACAAGTGGCCACGGGAGATCACAAAAAAAACGTTTATAATACACAGTGCCCTAGCAAATTAAATGTCAGCAAGCTAGGGCAGTGTTTCTTAACTTTTTTCAGTTAAGGCAACTCATTCTAAAATGTAAAAAAAAAAAAAACCTAATAATTTTATATAATGCAGCGGCACTTTTGTACGTAGGACACTCTTACAAAGCAGATACACCCTTTCACACTGGTACTGACTAGTATTCCAGTGTTTTCTCTTCTCCCCCATTCAGTTGATATGACCCCAGTGCTGACAGAGGAGCAAACAAGTATGTCGTTAGGCACCTAGTGTCCTCCTTATCAGCCTATAGTATCATCGGTTGTTAGCCATTTCAGCAGGCACCTGGCTGCTGGCATTCTTAGATTCGATCTGTCCATAGACAGGCTGGTTGTACTGAAGTCGAATCAATGGATCAAGTAGACTTCAATACAATCAAGCCCGTCTGTGTTTTTTTTTTTTTTTTTTTTTTTTTTTTTTTTTTTTTTTTTTTCTTGTCACTGCCAGTGGCTGTAGTCGCCAGCAGTGATCACTTTTTTCTGCTAGTGTGCAAGTCTTCCTGCCAGCAAAACAGAATGGCACTGCGGGAGGGATTCCCCCCATCAGCACAATCAAAAATCGAGCAATTTTCTTTCCTGGGTGGCTTTAGGGTTGACCTCTACATCGAGCCCATCCCCATATTGACCATGCTACTATTGGGTGTGGGGGGGATATTACTTCTTACTTCTGTGTAATTTACCGACCCAGTATCATTTTCATCAATGCCAGTCTGAAGGGGAGGATCTGAGCTCAGTTGATGGGCTACTGGGCCTGAACATAAACCTGTTCAGCTACATTATTTCAGGGGTATGCTGTTTGGTCATATGACCTCCTGCTAAACCAAACTTTCAATCCCCTCTTCTTTCCGAGCCCCACTTGCAGAGACCATGTGGTCCATACCTTGGCATTCACCATGCATCCAGCAGAGGAGGATTCATGGGGAAAGGCATCCTCCGTCATTCAGTGATTGTGTTGATTCGATCTTAATTGCACATTCTAGATTCCCTTTAACTCCTCGAGATGCTGTATTAGCTCAGACACCGTTTAATGGATCTGGCCAGTTTTGTGGTCATGTTATGTGATACTTTGCCGTATTGTGGGGTCTCTGTTTATGGCACAATGTGCTATCTTATTACAGATGGAAGCTCTGGTGTGTGTGGACATATGGCCTTGTACAAGGTTAGAGGCAAGGAGTTCTGAGGGAAATAACTGGAGATGGAAGGATTAAGACTAATCTAGAGACCAGCATGATAATTCTTTTATGTCCAGCTCACATAGCTTTTATTTTTAGCTATTATTTTTTTCCCCCCTCATATAGCGGAGGAGCGACTTTCAGAATTATATGCGCTACATTATACCTCCTTGTTGACCTCTGGCGCTAATCTGTTTAATGCAGCATTTAAACAATGGATTAGAGAGGCTTGTGTGATCCGCAAATTAAGGCATGACTGTCTTCCTTGTATCATCATGGCTCACTTATAATAAGGGATCACTGACTAAGATACGGAAATCATTGTACAGTGGGATATGCAGTGCCCGGCAGTCTGCGCTGACGGCAAATGCGAATGAATTCTGGAGTCATTAGAGGTCTTCTATAATCTAAGCCATAAAGTGTATAAACACAAAAATGTAATGTCTTGCAGATTACTGGTCCTGGTGGCTGCATTAGTTTTCCTTATTCAAACCAAGAACATTTTTTAGCAAGTAGAGAAATTATTTTCTGAAATAATGTTGAATTTGCTAGAAATATAGTGCCCTTGTTCACTTCTGGTGATCTGAAAGTAGAGCACAAACAATGTTCTCTCTATATTGAAAACTTCTAGTCCCAACAATCACCATGTAATGGATATGAATAAAAGATACTGTAATGGATATGAATAAAAAGCATGGCTCCCCCCTATAGATACAAAGGAGAAATGAATGTAGACAGGACAGAAATGTGGTGTTTTACACACAACAGGTGGGAAGGGGGAGAAAAATTAAATTAAAATTACATATATATATATATATATGTAATATAAATATAATTATTTTTTTTTTTTTTTTTTTTTTTTTTTTTTAATGGCAGATATATCCAAACTCTCTCCTTGCTAGCTCTATCGCTTTGTTGATCCGAAGTCTTCAGTGCTGTCTAATGCAGGCCATAGACGGGGAGAAAAACAGCCGATTTTTCTTTTAAAAAATGACATTTATTCTTCAGTTCTTTGACATTTATAGTGGTTGCAACAATGTATCTATTTGTATCCATTTAGGATACAGATGTTTTTATTCAGAAACAAATAGATACAATGTTGCAACCGCTGTAAATGTCAAGGAACTGTCAAAGAAATAGCGGAGCTCTCTGCAGGGACACTTTTTGCCAGACTGGAATTCCTCTTATTTTTCTTCTTCTTCCTTCCTTCTTTCCTTCTTTTCTTCTTTCCTTCTTTTCTTCTTTCCCCCTCCTCTTTCCCCTTCTTCTTCTTCCTCTTTTTGTCTTCCTCTTGCAGGTCACTGCTCATGCGCAGATTTTTTTTTTTTCCAACTTTACCGATAAAAAAAATCTGCCGAAAAACGGCCGAACAAATAGCCCACTTACGATCCGAAAATCGGCCGATTTTATTTTCGGCCGAAAAATCGGCCGATTTTCGACCCATCTATGGCCTGCATTAGTCACTGGAACAACATATGAATACAAAAGAAACCAGTCTGGATGTGATTTTACAGGCATTCCACATATGGACATAGATAACTGTATAAAACCATTTTTATCAAAAACAAACATATCATAAAATTCCATAAACACAGCATTAAACTACACAAAGCTACTATGATCAAAATGTATTCGATACAATTTGACACGTTTTTGAGACTACTCTCTGCCTCTTGGCAGCTGAGGAATACAATCCGTATACAAGGTTAATGAACTCTGTACATATACGGTCATTGATGTTCTATACAGTTTGTATATGATGGGGTGTTTTCTCTCTCTACATATTCTCAACTCCTCTAAGGAAGAAAATAACCTTGAAATGTGTCATGAGAAATTGTAACCAATACATTATGATCATGGAACCTTTGTGAAGCTTTGTGGTGTTTGGGATTTTATGTCCTGTATTGAGTAAAAGAAGAACTGTATAAAACATATTTATGCCAGTATGTTGAATGGTTTGGTTTCTTTTATATGCGTATTAATTTAGAGATGTTGACATTCATTGGATGGGTCTAAACACTTGTGAATTATTGACATCTCTCTGCATACCTATTTTGGTCATTTTGAGGGGCTCCCATCATCCCTGCAGGATTTTTTGTATCTATTAGTGACGCACTGAAATTTCGGCAGCCAAAACATATCGGCCGAAAATAGCCCTATCAGCGTTTTTGACTAAAGTAAAAAGTGAGCCGATAGAAGTGCCGATAATGCGAGACCGGATCCCAATGAGGGGCGGACAGTCTACTTGGTTGGGGAGATTAGAGGGGCTGTGTGTACTGGGGAGGAGGGCAGGAGAGGAGGTAAGCAGTGTGTACAGTGAGGGAGCAGCATATACAAACAGGCTCCCTCACTTGCAGCTGTTAAATGTCATTGTGGTTTTTAAATGCCATTGACTGTAAAAGGGAAAATATAAGCGAGCGGTAGAAGTCCGTAATCTGCTAAACACCAAAGGTACCAAAAAGACCTCCCAAGTAAACAAACATCAGGGTGTAGTGCTAAAATAACCTTAATGCTGATAAAAGTAAGTAAAACCAATAAATGACTCTGTAATAACCTATGAATTGTGTCATTGCAACCAACTCAATAAGCATAATTATTATAAATCACAAATGAGTGTTCAAAGTGACGGTGCTTGCATATACAAAATAAAGTGATTCAACCGTGGTGTGATATGTCACTAATCAGTGATTAGCAATGTGCACCGTGCCAGGTATGAGTCCAAGATTAAGGTGCGTGGGAGATTGTGACGATCTTCAGGATCCAATAGTCTGATCCAAACAAGTGGTGATAACTCTCAAAGGTGTAAAGACTGCGCACTCACCAGATGCGCAATTAATCTGCGCATTTAGAGATATCAATCTCAAAGAACCAGGGGGTCCCTTTTAAGGTCTGGTCTCCCTCTTTTTCCCGGATATCCGCTGCCAGTGATGGTGCGCCTGCTCTCTAGATCTGGTGAGTGCGCAGTCTTTACACCTTTTGAGAGTTATCACCACTTTTTTAGATCAGACTATTGGATCTATTAGAAGGAGCTTGTCATTTACCACATATTGTTCCCCTATGTGACCGCAATAAAATCATAAGTTAAAAATAAATAAAAACACACACTTAAAAGTGAGGGGAAAAAAAATATATATATATATATATATATATATATATCTGTTTATATTAGGGGAATGTAACTGGAGGAGATGGGACAAAGGTGGGCAGGAACACCCAAAACTCTCAGGTGGACTTGATTTGGGATATTATGGTGCCTCCAAGATGTAGAAGGAGCTAGGGGCAGATTCATGCCAATCATGCTCCACCAATGACAGAATGATCCTATTTGATGTGATCCTTAAAAGTAGAACCCTAGTCAACTTTTAAAGTGACTCTGTTGTAGTAAAATGTATGGGGGCTGCAATTGCTGACTTCTGGTTTGAGACTGTAACTTCCCTGGATGTTGGAGGATGCCTTGCCTTCAATAGTTTGAATATTTGGCCTGAACCAAGTATAGAGAGGGTTCCATCATTTTAGAGCATGCATGTTCTGGATCGGTGTCTTCAAAATATTGAGGCCAGGCAACTAGCATTTTAAAGAATCCTTGCAATGGCAGACCCCATACTTTTCTAATAAGAGTCATTTCAATTGGTATTTTCAAGCTTGTTGGGGCAAAAAAAAAGAGAAAAAACATAAAAATAATGTAGTGTGTACAATTGTGACACAAGTCCTCATATTGCAATCGAATGTTATAAATGACCTTTCTTTTGCAATCTGCAGTGCTGTAATTTTCTGTAAAATGCAGTACGGCAACCTGGAGGCATTCTATACGCTGATGGTGTAGAGAACCCCCCCCCCCCCCAGAAATTTCATGTTTATGCGATTTGTCTTCTTGATATTCCCAGACATCTGCACTAAGATACAAGTCAGCTTTTGAGCATCCCTTGCAACAAAAATGTAATTTTGGTGAGATATTCCCAAATGGAATTCGTCTAAAGGGATGCAGACCCTGCCACTTTTCTCTTTAGAGCAGCAGTCGATTGAATATTTCAAAATCACTCCTATACAGATTCACTCTGTACATGGACACAAGCAAACCGCTTTTTCTTTAGAATATAAAAATTAGAACTCGGCAACAACGATCACTCAGAGGGGAATGTGTGGGTGGTGGTGTGTGTGTTGTGTTTTTTTTTTTTTTTTTTTTTTTTTTTTTTTTTTTTTCTTTTTCTGAACAAAAGTGGAGTTACTCTTTTTTTGAGCTTCTTTTTCCTATGGGCTCACTGGTGCAATGGCAACTCAGAAAGGACTGGAAATAACTGGCAGGGATATAGGAATGTGAAGGATTATGATGAGAAGGTTAAGAATTCTCAGACTCTACTGAGAAGACGTTTCAGCAGCGGGTGTCAGACTGAGATATGAAGATGTCAAAAAAATCTATTATTATTTTGGTCATTAGAAAAGAAAGCTGTAATCAGAGTAGACTAATTTACTAATGATTTGCACTCTCTGATATGTTGCAGTGTCGCACTAATGAACCACAGCTGTTGTCCCAATGTAATTGTCACTTACAAGGGCACCGTCGCAGAGGTCCGAGCTGTACAAGAGATTAATCCTGGAGACGAGGTGAGAATTAAGCCGAACTGACTTCTGGAAGTCTGAAGTTATGTCAGGCTCTGTGCTTCCTTTGTAATAGGCGGTTTATAATGTTGACTCTTTAAAGAAAATAATAATAATGTTCCTATATATTCCAGAATTAGTAGGGTACCTCTGTTGCATCTACTTTATAATGTAGATTTCTCCTAATCTTTAATTCCCACCAAGCAGCAAAACACACAGATAAAATACATGTAGAGAGAAACCAAGTTTTTCTACCTAAATCTGGCCATACACTATACAATCTGATTTGTACAATCTCATTTATGTAACATAAAGACATACCAACAATGCATTCAATTTGTAACCAATCAGGCCATGTACGAGGGGTGTTCAAGGCAAACTTTTAATAAAAGAACAAATTTCAAGGAGTGGGAAACTGCTTTTATTTATTATATATAACTCCCCTGCTACGTTTTATACACTTATCCCAGCATTTAATGCCTGGAAAGCTTTGACATAGAAAGATTTGACAGTATGTCTGAACCATCCTAGGACAACCTGCTTTTCTTTGTCATCAGTGCTGAAATGCTGACCTCGGAGGAACTACTTCTTCTTTCTTCATCTTTCTTTTTCTTCCTTCCTTCCTTCTTCTTCTTCTTTCTTTTTCTTCCTTCCTTCTTTCCTTTCTTCTTCTTCTTCTTTTTTTCTTCCTTCTTCCTTTTTCCTTCCTTCCTTCCTTCCTTCCTTCTCTTTCTTTCTTTCTTTCTTTCTTTCTTTCTTTCTTTCTTTCTTTTTTCTTCTTCTTTTCTTTCTTTTTTCTTCTTTCTTTCTTTCTTTCTTTCTTTCTTTCTTTCTTTCTTTCTTTCTTTCTTTCTTTTCTTCTTCCTTCTTTCTTTTTTCTTTTTCTTGGGGGGGGGGGGAGGGTCCAAACAGGTGAAAAATCGCTCAACTGTTTGACTTTTTATTTGGTGGTTGTGAGTCCGCTTGTTTACACTGCTTTGATGCTTGTTTTGATTCCGACGTAAATTGATGTGCCTGGGTTTCATCACATGTAATAATGAGATCCCGAAAATCCTGGACTTCCCTGTCCCTTCCCTGTAAAAACGCTCCTTCAAAACACCGTGCAGATTTCAACTCTTCTGTGTTTCTCAAAAGCTGAAAGCTGTCTTGGTACCCAGTATGTGCTAACTTTTGAAAATGCAAATATTGGTGAACGACTGTGTTCACGGTTCCCACAGAAAGATTAGTCTTGTGCAATTTCACAACAGATTATGCGTTGTGTTGATTATTGAGGATCAGGAGTTCTACGTGTTGAATGTTCAATGGAATGACTGCTGTGGGCTGGGAACCACCACAGCCGGGATCATCACTGACGGATGTACGGCCATCTTTGAAACTTTTACACGTTCAAATGTGACATGTGCGCCGCCTATCAGGAATAGGACACACATGCCACTTACACCGATATGTAGTACCACCATGCTAGCATCCCTTTTTATACCTGTAAAATTAAAAGTCCCAGTTTGACTTGAACGCCCCTCGTACTATGCACTTTGTACAATCTCTTTTAGATGTACCATCAATCAGATTGTATAGTGCAGACCCTTTAGAGGTTTCTGTTTTTCTGTCATTTCAGTCCAAAGATTTACACTGCTCTGCCACAGCACAGTCCAGTCTGGTAGGGCAGGAGACCTGATATTTCTCTACTGCAGATAAGTAACATTTTAGAGTCTAGGGTCTTAAGCAAGGAGTGCCCATTATACCGATTTCATTTGGTATCAACCCCTTACTATCCCCTGTACAGCAGAGCCCTAACAAAAGGAAAAAGCAGCCCAGGGAAGAGCCAACTAGCTGTGTTGCAGTGCTTATGTGCAAGCAATGGGAATGTTCATAGGAGCAGAGAGATGAGCTCATCAGTGTGCTGCTTCACCTTTCAGTGTCCAGTCACAGGATAGAGGAGGGACAAGAGCTGCAAGTGTTACTGAACAGCAGAGAAACATCTGTTCTTTTGCCCTACCTAGAGTTGTGCTGGGTGGCAGAGCTGTGTAAATCTCAGGACTGGATAAACAGCAATCCAAATCCTTTGGCAGGTAAAAGAGCTCTCCTGTTTTTTTCCTGTGTATTTAGCGGTTTGCCTGGACTTCAGCTTTAGCCACTTCAGCCTCCTCAACCTATCAGTAATGTCACCGGGTTGAAGTGGTTATACTAGGATGATGCTTGCAGCTACGGCCATTATCCTGGTATCTTTACATTTAAGCCCACTGCCGGCTAAAAACAAACGCAATCCTAGTGGCCAATCACTTTTACAGGTGGTGGAAGGGGGTCCCCCACCTTCCCGGGTTCTCCCTTTCCACTGGCTTACCATAGGGATCAAGGACTGGAACGTCCTCAATCATCTCTATGGTATTAGAAACCAGAAGCGATGAGTATTTTATCACATCTGGTTTCGCCAGGATGAACGTCAGAGCGAGAGCAATAATTCTAACACCAGACTTCCTGGTGTGACATGTTGGGTATCTATTTACTCAGCGCAACATATTTTCTATTTTAGCAAACCATTGGGTTTTATATTGTGGGTTTTTTATTTTGTTTGTTTTTTTTTTTTTTTTTTTTTTTGAGGGCCTTTTTTACATTTATTAACCGGTTCCCATCCCGCCTATTGTAGAATTACGGCCAGGCGGGACCTCTCGTTTCTGGAGGATGTCATATGATGTCCTCCCATTCTTGCCACACATGCGCGCCCCCGATCAGTGGTGAGCTGTGTCCCTCAGATATAGCACATTACCGATCAGGGAAAAGAGGCAATGGCTCTTTACCATTTGATCAGCTGTGTCCAGTCACAGCTGATCTCATGTAAACAAATGCTGATTATCAGCATTTCCATTCCCACAGCACTGAGAAAAAAGCCAGTAACCAGCTTTCCTGTGACACTGATAATCAGGGCTCTGATCTTCCAGTGCCTGTTGGGTGCAGCCCCATTGGTGCCTTTTGATCAGGGCAGCCTCATCAGCATACATCAGTGAAGAAGAAAAATTACTTATTTGCTAAATTTTAAACCGAAAGTAACTTTTTGGGGTTTTTTTGTCTTTCATAATGTTTGGTCTTTTTTTCGTTTTGTTTAGCAAAAACAAAAACCCCAGTGGTGATCAAATATCACCAACAGAAAGCTCTATTTGTGTGGGGAAAAATGATTCTAATTTAATTTGGGTACAGTGCTGCAAGACTACGCAATTGTCATTCAAAGTGCGACCACACTGAAGGATGAAAATTTGCCCTGGGCAGGAAGGGGGTGAAAGTGCCCAGTACTAAAGTGGTTAAAGTGTATTTCCAAAAAAATAGTGTTTGGGAAAAACCGTTACGCAAATACTACGTGACATGAAAAAAAAAAGGGGCAACACTCACTGTTTTATTCTCTAGAGCACAGTGGCCCTCCAGCTGTTGCCAAACTACAAGTCCCATGAGAAATTGCAAGATTGACAGTTATAACCATGACTCCTAAAGGTAGAGGCATGATGGAACAACAGCTGGAGGGCCACCAGTTTGACCCCCCTGGTCTAGAGCCTCTACTTAAAACAAATATATATAATGTTTGGGGTAACAAGTAATTTTCTAGCAAAAAATGCAGATTTTTACATGCATGGTAGAAGTGTCAGAATAGGCTTGGGGCTGAAGTGGTTAAGGCATGCAGATTATCTATGTTGAGCTGATTTATCATTTTTATTATTTTTTAACAACACACAAGTAAAAGTAAAGTCTATATCTGGCCCTTTAATTCCGTGGTATATGGAGAATGAGCCCCATAAAGTAACAGTTTATTCTGTTACTAGAATGGTCTTTGTCCAGGAACACACTGGCTGTGGGCAAATGTCAGACCTTCCCTGTCCACGCCAAGAAATACTTGTGCTATACCGCACTTCACTGACCTTATACATGTGGAATTCGTGAGTCTGGGAAAGAGCCTTTAAGAGCATCAGACTTCAATAGATGCAACTTTAAATAGATTTGACCTATAGAAAAGGGCTGCATCCTGCTGTGCAGTATGGCCCATTGGAGGCCGGCCAGCTTGTAACATGGGAGCAGCAAGTCTTGCTGTGAAGCTTTACTAACACAAGAAGTCACAACTAGCTAGAAGATTATCAGAATAAGCATGGCTACATGGGGGAACATAGTCTGGCAGCGGTCCTTTTTTCTTTGTGGAAGTCTTCTTACTGCTTGGAATCTTGATAAGATTACGAGGAAGGGTCTAAACATATAATCAAATAGACCCCTTGAATAAATGTAGGCATGCCACAGGCTCCAGGAATATATTTCTACTCCATGGTAGGGATGTACCAGCTGTTGCTGTATAGGATTACACTGTCCTACATCGCCCCCTTGCGGCTTTTAAAGATTATAACAGCCGTTCTAACAAAATTATTCTAATGTCTTTTTCAATAAATAAAAATAAAGACTCTAGAAACAAATGCCTGGTCACTAAATAAGGATCCCTGTAAAGAGGAATCATACTTGCCTATTGTATTGCCAGTGCTGCCATTCTTTGCACCCCTTTTAAGAGCCACAGTAAATGGGCCACCACAATGTGACTGCCCTTTAGGGTGTTGTCAAGGTTCCTTTAAAACTGAGGAGTAGAGGGGTTAAGTGGTTGAAGGAGCTGGTGGCAACTTACCAGCTGAACAATTGCATAGGGACAAATTTTCAGATTAATATATATATAATAATTTTGTTTTTTTCTCTACTTGATTGGTTGTTACACCCCCCAAAAAAATTACTCTTCTGCAACACCCATTCAAAGCAGACTGTTGCCTTGTCCAGCTGGAATGTTTTGTGGTCTGTGATGACCCATGTGATGCTGTTAACCCCCCCCCCCCCCCCCCAGCTCTTATGCAGCTGAGATTAGAGGGTATGTGATCAATTATTTAAAAAAAAAAGGGGAGGGGGGGTATTGGTTTGTATAACTATACACAAATGTTTAGTCTTTCATTACTATTTTAAACTGAATGGGTTGTTTTCCAAGGTGAGGGTTTACAATCCCTTTAATTTAGGTGGAGATGAAGTCTTTACCAGGGATTAGTTTATTTTACTACAAGTTGTATTCCTATTGCCCCCCTTCCTGAGGAAAATCTTGGAGTAATTGGGTGCTACAGCAACAATCCGCTCTTTAACCGGTATTGTCATATAAAATTAAAATCCTGTAGTCCAGATATTTATTAAAGCAAACTTGTCACAAAGCAATAAAATCTAGTGCAATGTTTCACGCAGGACCCCTTTATCATTACATGCCTGGCATTGTGATGTGATTGCTTCAGTAATTATTTCAACTATGATATTCATCCATGGGGTGCTGGTGACATATTTCTTCTTCCATTTACTTTATTAGTACAGTGTTTGGGGATTGGTTGGTTTGGGATTGCATAAATACTGCCCTCACTGGTGTCCTTCCTGTTCCTAGGTGTTCACCAGCTACATTGATCTACTCTACCCCACAGAAGATCGGAACGACAGACTTCAAGATTCTTACTTCTTCACTTGTGACTGCAGGGAGTGCACAACAAAAGAGAAGGTGAAGATATAATTAGAATACATTGCTTATTGTCTAGCTGTGCTTATTGGAAACTACTAAAGTGAATGAAAATCGGGTATCTAGAGAGAAAGGTGTGAGAGAAAGGTGTGACTAGAAGTTTTGACCTCAGGGGTCTCAGGTTGGTGTTACATTCCCTGCTTAGGGCTGAAGACTTGGTAATCACACTTGGCTCTCTGAAACTGGGGCTCAGTGGCAACTTCAACCCAGTTCCAGGCTCTACACCTACGCACACAATTGTTACAGAAAGCTTCATCAGGCTGCAAGTTAATATGCTGAGGTCCACTTCATCAGGCTCACAAGTTCATCTGCTGAGGTCCATGAAGGTGAGCATTGTATCATCAATATATACTTATTTTTTTTGCTGAACAACTACTGAAATGAAATCAGTTACTCAATAAGCTACCTATACAGTTTCAGCAGACCCATAGACATAAGCTGAAATTTATTTAATTTTTGTTTTTCAGTTTCACTCTTTAGATGTGGTGGTGGGTGTAATACTTTCCTTCTTCAGGGTTCACCTCTTTATCCTTCAAATAACACACTACAGGGGCTAGGGTGACAACACTCCCTGTTATGTCCCGGAACAGTGGTGTTCCCCTATTCTGCTCTCCCAGTTTAGACTACAGATGCAACTCTTATTACATAGGGAGGAGGTGTTCTGTAGATCAGAGAAGATGGTTGTAAAATCTGATAACCTTGCTTGACATATCCAGTGCACAGTTCTAGTACAAGGATACTGGAGTTCTGGCAGGATTTTTTTCTATACTGGATATAGTGTACTTGGCATGAAAATAAATGCAGTCAGTACAACCAAGGACAGGTAAACGTCAGTATACCATATTACATTTCTGTTCTTGGGTTTAGATACACTGTATTGTGTACAGAAAAGACTACGTTCTGTGTGATGCTGATCCTCTGTAATTGGAAGTCTAGTCAAAACCTTTTAATTCTTCTATTTACATTATAGATACAATAGAGAGAGGCTGCAGCCTTGTAATTTTTTATATTGCGGTCTGTGAACCCTCCGAATTAGGAAATTCCCTTTCTCTCTTAAAGACTGGTGTCACTGGGACAAAGTTATTGGAAGTGTAATCTAAAATATTACAGCGTTCACCAAAGTAAAACTGGGATTTCCCAATGGAGTCAGCTGTTCTCGACAAAGCGGAGATTGCTCCTTTCCTGTTGTCTCCAAAACTGGAAGACCGTGTGAAGCTCCAAATAAGGGCTCATACAGCGATCAAAACATCACCGGCTCTAACACTTCCTCATTCAGTCCAAGACTAGAAAAAAAGTTTTTTTTGTCTGGAGTTTCACTTTAAGGGATAAGCTAATTGTTAAAAATAAATCAATAATAATCAACACTTCTTTTTGCTTCTACAGAAAAGTACATTTTTACCTTTTTTTTTTTTTTTTTTTTTTTTTTTTTTTTTTTTTTTTTTTTTTTTTTTTTTTAGGAGCCTGCAAAGCATTGCACCAGTGGTCAGCAGATCGCTGGTGCTATGTAGGAATCCTGCAGACTGTCAGTGGCAGTTTTACACTGACAGGAAGAATCTGGAAACTACCACAGTGCTCTGTGTAGTTCATTGCAGAACGACAAGCAGACCGCTGCAAAGGATGTTGGCATTTATAGTTCATTTGTTCACAGAGCTCTTTGAATAAATCAAGTGGCTGTGTGGGTGGAGCCCATCTATAGAACTTTTTTTTTTTTTTTTTTGTCAAAAACTGACAGCTGGTATGAGGACCTTCTCCCTGTACTGCTGTCACACAGCAGTCCTGAAGCAGCGGGTGGTGTTGCACACAATCTGCTCCCATGCAGTCACTGGGATTGTGTATAAAACTGATAGGCAGACTTGCCAGTCAGTTGAAGCAGTCATGCGGCTGTGCTGCCACCCCAGTTACTTCCACACACCCCGTTAACGGGGCCCATTTTCCCACCCTACCTACACCCACCCCCCACACCCTGTGCAATGTATTCTGGGCTCCGCTTGCCCATTTGCGGGCCCAGGGCTGACGTTGCAGGTGCTGACGACTGGAGGGGAGAGAGGAGCGCAGACGTATGTCCCTGCTCTTCTCCCCTTCTTGCTGTGACCTGGAAAGTGATGTGTATGACGTCACTTCCAGGTCACCCTTTCACTTTCCCTGGCTAGAATAGCTGGGGAGGAATGTATTGTAATGTGATCTGCATTGCAATACATTCAGTGGAGCCCAGAGGAGATAGGCAGGGGTCCTGCGTGTCTCGGTAAATAGAACCTGTCACCTAAAAAATCATCACATAGGGGGACTGTGTGCCCTTCGTGATGGAGAAAAAAAAGTTAAGAAAACCCCCCCAATCCACACATATATGCACGAATGAACATAAATGCATGCGACAGGGTCACCTAGGCGTGAAAACGTTGGTTGCCATACACGTTGAATATCGCTGCGCACACCGGAGTGAGAGCATCATTCTAGCACTAGACCTGCTCCGTAACACTAAACTGATGACCTGTAGGGGCTTTTGAAGCGTCACCTAAAAAAAATATACGGTACTGAAGATTGTCGCCATTTCACGGGCGCACACAAATTTAACATTTGACATGTTGGGTATCTGTTTACTCAGTGCAACCTCGTCTCTTAGAATTTCCTAAAAATGTGGGTAATTTATTGCGTTTTTGTTTGCCCTAAAATTCACTTTAGTGTATTTTTACTGAAATTTTGCTTTTCTTTGTGGTAGTTCCAGTTTTTTATGTCACACTATACCACAATTTTATTCTCTATGGTGTCTACTTTCAGCAAATATATAATGTCTGGGGGTTTTGTGTAATCTTTAGGCCTAAAATTATTTTTTTTTTTAATCGTGTGCAAAAAAAAAAAAACCCGCAAAAACTGTTCTGGCAGCAAAAGGGTTAAGCTGCCCATCGCTGTCAGATTGTACAAATCACCTTTTAGATTTTTGACATGAGGGCCTACCTCAACTATCCATCCAATTTGTATCCAGTTACTCAGGTTCTTGCACTAATATTAATTAGTAGATCTGAAGGAATATGTACAATCGGACTGCAATATGTACGCTCAGCTTATATAAATAGTAAAAGACGTTATTTCTCGAGAACCCAGCACTCTGCGTGTGTATGTACACATTCTACATCAGAAGCTGATAACACAACATGTCTTTTATATCTTCCAGGACAAGGCAAAGCTGGAGATCAGGAAATGCAATGACCCACCCAACCCTAAAGATGTACGAGACATGATCAAATATGCCCGCGGTGTGGTGGAAGAGTTCAGGAGAGCCAAGCACTTCAAAAATATCCTTTGTGTGTCTGTAGTTCTACCTCTAGGTCATCACTAATGTTCTGTCTTCAGCAGTCTATTTTAGTTGTATGTTGGTGCCCTCCTCTGAACATCACACGTAATCGATAGCACTACAAGCACAGGGACAGAACATGGAAATCTCCCAGTGCATTATGGGAGCTGTCAAATCTATTTGGCCATGATAATATGTGGTTTTGGTGAGGTTAGATGCCAGTTTTTTTTTTTTTTGCAAATGCTTAATATTGTTCAATAGCCCATCCACCCAAACCATTCAGTGGAATTGACCCTTTAAATGTACACTTCAGTAAAGCATTAAAAGGCCTCATTCACACAGGCATACTGATTCATACACCTGTGCAAAGGTCTGTGTTTACCCATATGGGATGCACAGGTGCTCCTTGCAGCCTGTTCAAATCAATGACCGGTGGGTGGCTGCACGTTTCAGAACTCAAATAGACTGCCTTCTGATCCTTGCATCAGACACTCCATGGATGTACAATCTGGGATGTGCTTGGAGATCCATCCAGGTCCATGAAGCCGCCTGCCTGGCATTGACCTGAACAGGCTGCAGTAAATGGGGCTGCATGGAACAACTGTGCATCCTGCTTGGTTGATGGCTCTGTGCCTAGGTGTACTGATCGCTACACCCATGTGAATGGGACCAAAGGGTTGCCCAGGACCCTGGCCTACTGATTAGAACTGTGGCATTCATCCTATGAAGCTCAATGGCCCTCTTGCTACATTGCTGTGAACATGCTTCTAAATAGGGCTTTAATGATTTGCATAAAAGTGATACCATCACCTAAAATGGATTTGGCTTGTTTGTGTTTGCTGGCAAGTTGAATTCCATGCTGACTTCTTCCATATGGCGGTAGATCCAGTGACAAGATCTCCTATCGAGAATTCTCCGTATGGCCCAACTGCTATGGCAAAGCCCAGTGGTGTTTTCACACTTTATGATGGATTCTCCATAATGTGCAATAAAATGTAATGAAGAAGGAGTTGCAAGAGCGTGACTGCATCATTGCCGCAGAAGGGGTGATACCAAAACTTGCAGAGAAATCACCTGATATAAGAAGCTAAAGGGCAATTCAGCTCACTGCTGCACCCTCACCCCTCTTCTGAAGTAAAATATCCGATTTGGTGGCAATGTACTATACTGAGTGAAGTTTAGCAAAGTTTCCAAAGTAGAGGGAGCACTTTCCTGTTTGATTTGCTCCTCTGCTCTTGGTTTTCATTTTCAAGTTAGTTTTGCCATTATTACAATGTTTTATTTTTCTATTACTTTTATTGTCAACTATATAATTGCTGTTTTTGAGGTTTGTAAATGGCATCATCTTTTCCCATGGTGATTATAGCAAGTAATGTAGAAAGGGAAATGCAGTGGTCCAGCCACTAGTTTATATAGTTTTGGCAATAACCGGAAACAGTAGGAGAGAGGACTATGCCCTTACAATACAGTCTGGGGAATTGCAGTAGCTGTAGAAAGTGAAACACCTTGTCCTTGTGTTCTATAGGTTTTGTGACTCTTCAGACCAGTGGTTCCCAACCTCAGTAAGACCAGGGTCCGATGAACTTTCAAAACTTTCCAACTGTAAAGAAAAATGTTTATAATCGTACAATACAACATTGTATTGTATGATGATGTATTTAAAAAATATTAAAATGTAAATGCATAGTTGGAAATGAGTTACTTTAAATCTGGTGGTGTCAGTGGGATAGTGGGCCCTTTAAATCATTGGTGTCAGTGATATTAATTAAAGTAGAACTCAAGGCAAAGTTGTATTCCTTACTTGGAGGGTTATAATCCCTGTCAGGTGTGATTTGCCATCTGTGTCCTATTGGGGAGATTTCCCTTCATTTCTGGTCTTGTAGCCAAAATGGAAGGAAGGAATCCTGGTTATCATCAGACCAGAGCTTAGAAGATTTTTTTGGTGACTGTGAATATTTGGGATTTTCTTTCACTTTCCAGCTCGGTGAAAAAAAGATTTTGCCTTTTAGTTCTACTTCAGGCTACCTTGGGACAGGAGGCAGTGCCACCTGCAGATAATGCCTGACTATCCCGCCCAGTGCTTCTTCTTCTATTGGTGTCTTTCTGAACCATTTCTAGATCAGTCTAGCTAAAATTAATCTCTGAGCAGATTGATCTGCTTATTAAAAGTAGTAGTGATACTCTAGATTTTTTTGTGACTTGGTGTACAGGGGGCCCACCAGAGAATCCTCCGGGGGCCCAGTCCAAGCCTGGTACAATAGTGGTACTTAGAAAAGTAACTCTGGTGGGATTTTCTGAGTGGTCAGTGATTTTTCTTAACCATACCACGTCCTAGCGAACTGCTGGAGATGTGTGAGCTCAGTATGGAGAAGATGGGAACTTTATTTGCAGACACCAACATTTATATGTTACACATGACGTATCAAGCCATGGGAATCTGCCTGTACATGCAGGACTGGGACGGAGCCTTGAAGTATGGAGAGAAAATCATCCAGCCGTACCGGTAAATACCAATGGCCGCACCCATTCTGATAGCCTGTGAATTGGCATTAAAGAGCACCTGTCTTGGTTTTATAAGGTGGAGGGTGACAGTGATTCATTTGGGCCAATACAGTAATGGAGGGATTAGTATATTCTGGAACTGTGGTTTTGCAGGTAACCTGTTGTGACCAGTCATTACCAGACTACAGATACTGCCACTGGTGACCATCCCCAGAAAATGTTAAGGTGTAGGTGTGTGTGTGTGGGTGCAATCATAGGCTCCTGCAAACTCTCAGCATAGCTGTCTGCCTGTACCTCATACGGGCAGGCAATTATTGATAGCAGGAAGATAAATTGACTACAGGACCTCTCACCAGCACCCTCGTAGTTCATTGAGAACTATAAGCCACAATGGCTGACGGTACTTGTAGGCATTTATTCACAGAAAACTGAATAAGTAACGTAGCTGTGTGGGCAAAGCCCCGCACGACCACGCTGTTTTTAAATCATGACCGCAAGGGCGGGGAGAATATCCCCCGCCCCGGTGATCGGGAGGAAGAGGCTGCAGATGCTGGAACATGTTCCACCTTAAAACTGGGAGGAACATGCAACATATTCCAAGAACATATCCTTGAACCAAAATTTAAATTATCCCACATGCTGGAAAATACACTTAAAAAAACCACATTTGTATGGATTATATCCAATAAAGTCATCTCTATACACTATTCATACCACCATATGCATACTTGGAAAGACAAGTCCGTAAACCTTTTAAAAGCCCATTAATAATTTCCATGAAATCCATGTTGATTGGGTCGTACAAAACACTTCACACCGTATCAAAGGTGTTCTCCCAAGTGTTTCCACAATTCTGTCACCTCTGTAGTAGACCTATGTACTGTATCGGGTAAGTCATACATAGCTTTACTTCTTTTTAAGGGGTGATTTTTTTTTTTTTTTTTTTTATTCTTTCCGATCTCCTGTTTATTCATAGCCCCACAGATTTTTCAAAGGCCCCACAATCCTCCAGATTTAATAAACCGTGTGGATAATAATTTGCCCTCTTATATCCCAGGGTTAAAGCCTCTATCTTATCCTCTTGCCTCCTCCATAAATATGCAGATCAAAACAGACAAAAAAAAAAAAACAACTCCTTGTGCTTTTCATAAAATCAATGCACGTTATAAAAATACATCAAATTGCCATGTGCACTTTCATCAGGTGCACTTCCAAATCAGTTTCAGTATTGCTCCTTTAGGGTAGTGGATGGATGGCAGTGGATGAATGACGCACGGCTTTCCCTGATGTCTGCCTACATTCTAGTTTGTGCAATGTCATCACTGGCTCGGCCCTTCATGTTGTGTCACTAAACGCTTGGATGGAGGAATCCCCTCTGCTGGGACAGTGTATTCTGACAGCACTCTCTGCTGTCCGAATACACTGATCAACGCTGCAGCCACTGATCGATTACAAGTTTTCCAGCAGGTCTGTTTTTGACAGGAGCTGATTTAATGATCCGCTTCTGTTGAACAGGGAGGACTACTCACACATTGAAATTGGGCTGGTCTCTGCCGAACTGGACAATTTTTTGATTCATATGTAATCGGCTTTAGTTGGGTTCAACATAAACACATTTTCCAATATACTTACCAGCATTGACACTAACAATGTGCGTTTTAAAAACAGCGGGTTTAGTTGCACACATTTGCAAATACACTGCTCAAAAAATTTAAAGGAACAATTTTTAATCAGAGTATAGCATCAAGTCAATGAAACTCCTGGGATATTGATCTGGTCAGTTAAGCAGCAGAGGGGGTGTTAATTTCATTAACACCAAAGCAGCTGAAACTGATTAACAGGTGCACTAGATGGGAAACAATGAGATGACCCCCAAAACAGGATTAGTTTTACAGGTGGAGGCCACTGAACTTTTTTTTTTTTTCCCTACGCATCTTTTCTCACTAGTTTTGCATTTGACTAGGGTCAGTGTCACTACTGGTAGCTGGAGGCGATACAGAGGTTGCACAGGCAACTCCTCCAGGATGGCACAGCAATACATTCCATTACCATAGGGTTTTCTGTGTGATTCCAGGACACAGGCAGTTACTCTAGGAGAGCTGGACAGGGCCGTAGAAGGTCCTTAACCCATCAGCAGGATCGGTATCTGCTCCTTTGTGCAAGGAGGAACAGGATGAGCACTGCTAGAGCCCTACAAAATGACCTCCAGCAGGCCACTGGTGTGAATGTCTCTGACCAAACAATCAGAAACAGACTTCATGAGGGTGGCCTGAGGGTCCTCTAGTGGGCCCTGTGCTCTCTGCTTGGCACCATAGAGCTCGAATGGCATTTGCCATTGAATACCAGAATTGGCAGGTTCGCCACTGGCGCCCTGCACTTTTCACAGATGAGAGCAGGTTCACCCTGAGCACATGTGACAGACGTGAAAGGGTCTGGAGAAGCCGTGGAGAACGTTATGCAGCCTGTAACATTCAGCATGACCGTTTTGGTGGTGGGTCAGTGATGGTCTGGGGAGGCATATCCATGGAGGGATGCACAGACCTCTACAGGCTAGACAATGGCACCCTGTCTGCCATTAGGTATCGGGATGAAATCATTTGACCCATTGTCAGACCCTACGCTGGTGCAGTGGGTCCTGGTTTCCTCCTGGTGCACTACAATGCCCGGCCTCATTGGTGAGAGTATGCAGGCAGTTCTTGGAGGATGAAGGAATTGGCCCCCACGCTCGCCTGACCTAAATCCAATAGAATACCTCCGGGACATCATGTTTCGGTTCATCCGACGCCGCCAGGTTGCACCTCCAGGCTGTCAGCTCAGTGATGCCCTGGTCCAGATCTGGGAGGAAATACCCGAGGACACCATTCGTCATCTCATTAGGAGCATGTTCCAACATTGTCAGGCATGCAAACAAGCACGTGGGGGCCATACAAACTACTGAGCACCATTTTTAGTTGCTCCAATGAAATTTCAGCAAAATGGACTAGACTGCTGCATCATTTTTTCACTTTGATTTTTAGGGTGCCTTTGTAAGTTGATAATTTTCATTTCCATTTCAGAGGACAGAATTCAAATGCGGCATCCTTATGTTCCTAACACATTACCCAGTCCATATCGGTATAGATATCCAGCATGAGATTTTTCCCCATTTTGATCTGATGAGTTTTTAAAGTGTTCCTTTTTAATTTTTTTAGCAGTGTGTATATGGAAGCCACAGTGCCCACACCAAGACTCTTCTGTATACTGCGGTCCTAACTCTATAATTTTAGAGTCTCCAAGTTGGAGCACTTATAGCAGTGGATAAATTAAGGACCCTTCTATGTGCACCTTACTGCAAAGGGAAGTTATAAATTGAAGTGGTTGCCATCTTTTTGTATAGATTATTTGCTGATTTGGTGTGGATTCCTTTTAGCTGCCATTGTGCTCTATTGCTGGCTGTCCAATATGTCCCTGTGCGTTTTAAGGAGGAATGGGCCACCTCCAGACAACCCTGCCCTTCATTTATCTGCTGCTATGTGTTCCAACTTGGAGGCTCAATATAGAGTTGGGACCGCAGTATACAGAGTAGCCTTGGTGAGGGCACTGTGGCTTTAACACATTTTGTAAATATGTGCAATGAAATCCTCTGCAAACAAACCAAACTGACCCAGTCTAACAATTCATGTTAAAAACAGTAACTGGTAAGTGTGCTTGGAAATCTTTTGTTTGTGATGCGTGTTGTCCTTTTATGTGCACCTTGCTGCAAAGGCTTGTTATAAATTGAGTGGTTGCCATCTTTTTGTATTAGTTGGTTGTCATGCTTATTTTGAGTACCGTATTTGCCGGTGTATAAGACGACTTTTTTTTGCCCTGAAAAACATGCCTCCAAGTGGGGGGGTCGTCTTATACGCCGGGTGCACTTCAGTTGGGATAGACATAGCTGCCATAGTGGCCTTACGATACTCGCTCGGTGCCCATAGTGGCCTCCCGATGCCCACCTACCTCATTCTACATATCATCCAGTATCGCGCGGAATCCAGTGCGGCCGCGGCGGGTCATCAGCGTGGCTGCGGCGAGCATCAGCAGCGATACAGGGGTGCCAGCCTTTTCGGTGTGACCAGCCCGTTCTGCTCGGCGGGAAGCAGCGGCGCTCTGGCCCACCACTTGTCTACGCAGGGCTCGCACATGCGGACTTGCGCACTAATGCCAATTACAGGGAGATGCAGGGACATGGTAGTGACATGGAGACAGGGAGGGCAGACAGGGAGCAGGGACCAATCCAATCAGGCTTTGTATACAGCCAACAGCCAACCACAGTACTGCACCATTGTACAGTACAATACAGCATAGAAAATGTCCAGCAGTCAAACCTCTATCAACCCTATCATGGCACCAGCAAAAAAAAAGAGGGGGTAGTCTTATACGACGAGTATATAACAAACTCTATATTTTGAGTGGAAATGTTGGGGGTCATCTTATACGCCGGCAAATACGGTACTTCATGAGTTCTTGACACCCAGTACAAGTATGCAGCATCTGAGTTCACAACTCCTGAACTGCATGTCTGTTCTGGGTCAGCAATTTTGCAGATATTAAAGCCATACATTTAGCCAGGCACCTAGCATTTTCAGGAGAGATCGCCAATGCCAGCTCGTGTTTTATTTTGTAGTAGTTTTTGTCTATTAACGTGAATAGTCTGAAAATAAAATTAGACCTTCAGAAGAGTTTTTCTTTATACGTTGGCACTCTAATGCAGTACAATTGTGATATCCAAAGTACTGGTATCTACTTCAGCCAATCAGAATCAATCTCTGCTAACCCTTAGTGGACGATTTCCCCAGGTGTATGGTTCCAAAGAAATAAATATATTGTAACTTTTATATCATTTTTTGTTTTTTTCCAGTAAGCACTATCCAGCATACTCTCTAAATGTGGCCTCCATGTGGCTGAAGCTGGGAAGACTTTACATGGGCCTTGAGAAGAAGACTGGTGGAATTAAGGCCCTGAAAAAGGTAAGACAAAGGGGGAAGTCTACATTTTGCATTCAAGCGGTACTAAACCCACAATGTAATACAGCCTACCAATTCTTCGATGTGATTTTTTTTGTTTTTTTTTTGTTTTTTTTAGGCTTTTTCTTTTTTTTTTTTTTTTTTTTTCCCCCAACAGAACAAGATATCCTGCAGATGTAGCAGTTAGGGGATTTAGATAAACCAGTTACCACTGATGAGGGTAACTTGTTTGGTTTTACATTAATAAAAATTACCACTGAGATTGTCTCAATAGGAACAAAACTGTATGCTGTAACTGATTATAAAGTGTTAGTTGGAGTTAAACTTCAATTAGTCCATCTAAATATGTTAGATGGACGAACACTCCCCTCCCCCCAGACTGCCAATGATAATGTCTGCTGTACCCCCTGTGCCCCTTTATGCAGAGTGGGGGCACTCTAATACAGGAGGTGTGTTACTGGCCAGATCACCAGATAAAAAGCCTAAAAAAAAGAAACGTAATCCAGCCACCACATTTAATCATTGGTAAGTGCAATATATTACATTTGTGGTTTTGGGTTCAATACCATTTTTAATTTTGCTTCATATTTTTTCGCTCCTTTTATTATTAAGTTAGAAAATGATATGCATATGTAATAAGAGTTTGTCTTCTAGACTGACTTGAAAGGAGGGGTGGGCGTCCTCCAGGCTTACCTGCCCTTCAGTCTATCCATTATTATGCATGTGCTTCTACTATGGAGGCTCTCTAGGGCTGCAGAATATTGGGGTGCCGTGAAGAGGCTCTGCAGCATATGCATATAATTGCATTTGTGTACAAACTAAACTCCTGTGTTTAACAAACTATTAGAAAGGACAATTCAGTTGGTTGCAGGCTGGTTGTTAAGCTGAGTTGGAAATGTTTCCTTTATTATTTGACATGCGTCGTCCTTCCATGTGCTCCTTGCTGCAAAGGCAAGTTAGATACAGGCAGTTGCCATTTGTTTGACTTGAATGACTTGGCCTGTGTCTGGGGAAAAATGCAGCATTCCCCAGGTGAAACCCCAGTATACAGAGCCTAGACCGTCCACTGTGTATATTGTAAGCAGAGGTGCTCAAACCTGTGGCCCTCCATCTGTTGCAGAACTACAAGTCCCATGAGGCATTGCAAGCTGCTGACAATTACATGCATGACTCCCAGAGACTTGTAGTTCCGCAACAGCTGGAGGTTGAGCACCCATGTTGTAGGGATATTAGAAAATTGTGCACACCCGCTTCTGTTCTGTTGATAATGGGATTGGCCATTCCAGGGCACTTCTGCAAAGTGGGAGGGACTGCCTCCTGTAGTCACGTGATTTTGTATTGCCCCATTACAGACCTGCACAGAGTATCTCAGCGAGGATGAAATTGTTAGAACAGGGAGCTACAAGAGAGAGAGAGGAAGAGCATTCGGGTTGATGCCAACTAAACATGGATGAAAGAAGGAGCAATGTGGATGTTTTTGACAGTTTATGAATCACACAAAATTACAAAAATGTATGTAAAGCCAAAAGGTTCTTTAGTTAAGGTTAGAATAGTGATAGGTTAACCAATGTTTATTTTATATTTTGCGTCGTGCTTCCCATTGAGGAGATTTAAATCTGAACTCCAGTCTGGTCTTCAGTCTTAGGGCTCATGTACACTGCAGCTGATAAACTCACGTTTAGGAGCTGTTCAGCGTTTTTTTTCAGCAGCCCCTGAACTCCCCCTAATGTTTTCCTCTGTGTCCGTGTACAGATCCTCATTTACAGGCAGTTGAATTTACAGTCGTGTTTTTTTTAACACAACAGAGTTGCTTTCAGACGTCGCTTTTATCAGCGTTTCAAACACAGAACGCTTGTAAATGTGGCAAATCGCGTTTTATAAGTGTTTGCATTTGAAATTTTTTTTAACTCTTCCAGTTCCCAATGCTGTCCAGAGCCTTTTTTCATCATGAAAAATGCATGCAAAGCGTTTTCAAGGTACTCAGATGGACAAAACACTGAACACAGGATGTTCCTTCCAAGCTTGTCACACATTGTAATGACCAATTCACACCTCAGACCTCTCCCACCCTTGGAAACAAACGATATGTTAATGACCATTCACACCTCAAATTCCTCATGAAGACCCCCTGCCAGGTGGCCTTAATGACCCCCCCCCCCCCCCCCCCCCCCCACCAGACACCTTTCCCACCCTTGGAAACTAAAGAAATGTTAATGAGCAACTCACACCTAAGCTAATCTCAACACATACTGTTATCGCTGCTTCTACCCTCTGTATTTTTCTGAAACAGTTTGAAATAGTTAATAATTTACCACTTTTCAGTGCATTTTGGACATTCAGGAGGTTCTCCTGTGCTTATCTTTAAAAAACGAAAACGTGCATAAACGCGTTATGCAAACGCGGCTAAGCAGACTTTTTTTAACCTACGTTTTCCAGCAGTCAGTTTCCATCGTTCAGAAACGTACCGTGTACATGGGGTCTAACACAGTTGTACCAGCTCTTCTCTACTGAACCTACTTACTCTAATCTCACTGCACAATGAGAGCTTCTCACAGTGTGCATTTAAAGCTGCATCAAGTCAGATAGAGCCTGCCTCATTCCCTGGCTGGAGGACATCAAGCCATCATCTAGCTCCTTTCTCCCCAGCCTATCTCTCGTTTTCCCCTCATGGGCTCAGACAGTAGACCTTTGGCTCCCACTATTGTCAATCATAGGTAGGCATTGAGGAGAGAGTCAGGGGCAGGGCCAAACAGTGCTCCATGCGTCAATTGGAGGAGGATTGGGGCTCGATCGCTCACTATTTCACTCTCACACTCATTCTCGCTCGCTCTTTCTATATGTGTATATATAATGTGTGTATGCGTATTTACCTTTTTAAAATCACTCAGTCTTTTGGGTTGATTTGACACTGGACATCATTCAACCTGAATACTAAGGATGTCATGTGGTCAAAAAGGTACTGGGGGGGATTGCAGCCTGAACTGCTTTTATTTTGTACCCTGGTTCTTTGTGCCGCCTTACCATTTTCATTAACCTGTTTGCTGGGTGTACACTCTATGTATGAGCATACATGTTATGTGACTGTACTGTGTATTAGGGATGCAATTATGTAGCCTGTATTTTTCACCCAGAATATCTTCTGTAAGTGTGCAATGCATAAATAAAGAATTTATATAAAAGAAAAAAAATCAACATTTTTACTTTGCTTTTATAAATCATAAATGGCTGGATCCAGGCATATATACAGTGTCGTTCTCTAGGCTCAGAAAGTATAGAACATCCAAAAGAGCTGACCTTTCCCTGCACATTGCTCTAAAATACCAGCAACACATAGCACTGTACAATACTGTGATCTTCCTTCTTTCTTTTTTTTCTTTCTTTTTCTTTCTTCTTTTTTTCTTTCTTTCTTTCTTCTTTCTTTCTTTTTTCTTTCTTTCTTTCTTTCTTTTCTTTCTTTCTTTCTTTTTTCTTTTTTTCTTTTTTCTTTCTTTCTTTCTTTTTTCTTTTTTCTTTCTTCTTTTTTTCTTTCTTCTTTTTTCTTTTTCTTCTTTTTTCTTTTTTTCTTTTTTTTTTTTTCTTCTTCTTTTTTCTTTCTTTTCTTTTTTCTTTTTTTCTTTTTTCTTTCTTTTCTTTTTTCTTTCTTCTTCTTTTTTCTTTTCTTCTTTTTTCTTTTCTTTTCTTTCTTTCTTTTTTTTTCTTTCTTTCTTTTTTTTTCTTTCTTTTTCTTTTTTTCTTCTTCTTCTTTTTTTCTTTCTTTCTTCTTCTTTTTTCTTTCTTTTCTTTTTTCTTTTTCTTTCTTCTTTTTTCTTTTTTCTTTCTTCTTTTTTTTTTTTTTTTTTTTTTTTTTTTTTTTCTTCTTTTTTTTCTTTCTTCTTTTTTCTTTCTTCTTCTTTTCTTTTTTCTTCTTTTTTCTTTCTTTCTTTCTTTCTTCTTCTATTTTCTTTCTTTCTGTTCTATTTTCTTTCCTTTCATTTCTTTCTTTCTTCTTCTATTTTCTTTCTTTCTTCTTCTATTTTCTTTCTTTCTTCATCTACCGGATTTTCTTTCTTTCTTTCTTTCTTTCTTTCTTCTTCTTTTTTCTTTCTTTCTTTCTTTCTTTCTTTCTTTCTTCTTCTATTTTCTTTCTTTCTTTCTTTCTTTCTTTCTTTCTTTCTTCTTCTATTCTTTTTTTTTTTTGTGTTTTTTTTTTGGACAGTTTATCATTTTGAATTTTTCTGTTCCTCTCCAGGCCATCGCTATAATGGAGATCGCTCATGGACCGGATCACCATTATATAGCAGAAGTCAAGAAAGAGATTGAGCAATAACGCCAAAGGCTGCACACTTCTATATAAATGTGTGTCGGGAATGCCAGTGCATGTCAGTTTGGCATTGCTGAACATAGAAATATGCTTCGCCCTATGGGAACAACCGATTCTCCCCTGCACTGGCTGATCAGACATCCTTCACTTGTAGCACTCGGAAGGCCTCTCAGTACACAACTCCTGTGTATATGCTGAAATTCCACTTGGGGGCAACATAACACCATCTCATTTCACACCATAAAGTGGACCTCTGCTCAGATGTTAACATTGAATTAGGGGCTGGGTTGCTTGGATGGCTAATGAGTAACAGAAGTGCTGAAATGCCTTTCCTGGAGAGAAGGCTGTATGCCTAGACCGTCACGTCATCTGAGCTGCAGAGGAGGAACAAAATCCATATTAGTTTAATGCTCCCCTTCAGCAGAGATCAGGTGGTAACTTTTCAATGCTTTTGCATATGTGAGCAACACTGGCGTGAACCTTTTTTAAAGCACTTTCTCCAGGTAAGTACTCCACCACATCTGTTACACCCTTATTTACCCATCCCAGCAGGACTGTTAATGGTTACAATCAGATATAGATCCATCTTCGTGTGAATTTTTGTCCTGTAGGTACAGGCTGTAGTATATGAAGGGCCACTATTGCCGAAACATTCAGTATAAAGCTGCTATACTATACTAGTCATGATTCCAAATCTTTCATTCACATTTGCTGTGTGCAAGCTTGTAAGCAGCGGTGGTTATGTATTCTCTTTTGGCAACAGAACACTTCAAGGGACATTTCTTTACCTCAGTATATGTAAACTCTCACCTTGTAAAACAACCCGTTCATTTTAAAATAGAAGAAAAAGCAAAACATTTGTGTATAGATATAAGAACTTTACCTTTTTTCCTTTGTTCCATACTTTCTGTTCTTGGCTGCATAAGGAGCTCAGAGAGGTTGGGGAGGGGAAACAGTAGTAAACTGATCTTCCCAGTGAATGTCTGTGCAGGGGGAGCATGTCAGCTGAAGTCTGATCATTGCAGGAGAGCATGTGTAGTTCCCAGCACAGCCAGAAAACTGACCACACTGTGCTCTCATGCCTAGTGTGGTCAGTTTTTAATAGGGAAGCAGAGGGACTGGAAGGAACACCAGGGATTTTACACAAAGGAAGCAATACAAAGCGGACAGGATATGTTTTCATACAAGTACATGGTACAGCAGACACATCAGGAATATAAAATTTTGGGGTAACATTTAATACATGGATCCTCCAGGGTCACATGCCTCCAGTGTGTCCACATTCACATGCAATACACAGGGGAGCTCTGAGTGGGGGTGCCGAAGCTTCAACCCCTCCATAAGGCTTGGTTCACATCTGTGCGGGTAGTGCCACTGCAGGACCTGCACAAATACCTGCAGCTACACCACCCGCACAGAGGAATGCGGACCCGCAGGCTGGTGCTGTTAATTCTAATGGCACGCCACCCACACTGGAAATCACAACTGTACTGGGAACCTCTGTTCCTGCGTGGGCTGCAATTTCCCGTGTAGTGCTGGGACTTCTTCCCTGTGTGTCCTGGGGCACGGGAGTCCATTCAAATGAATGGGTGGTCGTGTCCATGCAAATTGTGGTCCTAACAGCTGCATATATGTGAACGCAGAAGAAATTTAGTCTTACTCCTGGTTAAGAACTGGCATCCACCCTTCAGTCCTCTGGTTCACACTGTTTTGCCAACACAGCCTGAAGACAGCCACATATTATGGCCAAACCATGGAAGCTTGATGCTTCGTATTGCCCATTTGGTCCGTCATGTAGTTACAGGAGTAAGATTGAGAAAGGATACAAGTGAACCTGGAGATTGAAGGATGAATGCCCTGTCTTCTGGAGGTCCGGACACGTCTGCACTTGTACTCAGCTGTTGAGTTCTGCTTGGGACCTTGGACACAAGGCGTGTTGGAGGCTTTTGGTGCCAAATGTCTTGGATCTGAAGTTGGCAAAATGTCCCTTGAAGTTCTCTGTATTGGCAAGAGAAAGCGTAGTAGCCACGGCTCTCACTATTGTGTTGTCCATGAACTAGACTAACTGCAGTAGCACTCATTAGGATGACCAGCAGGGAGTTAGCTGTGTGTCAGTAATATCTCAGATGTCTGATAATGGAGCCAACCGCTCTGCAAAATCCAGTAAGTGAATCTCCACTTCTGAGTATGAGAATATTGGTGTTACTAAACCCAGAACCCTGCATTCACTATATGTCCCACAGTACGCAGAGCATGGAAATGCAATTATTTTAGTAAATATAATCTGCTATATACTGCTGATGAAAAAAGATATTTAGCAGTCTTGTGACTTCTACCAGTGTCTGGTTGAGCACTGGTTAAAACTTGTAGGAGGAGTTTTCATTCTCCTCTGACTGTCCTATGAGGCTGCAGGACCCCTGACCCTCTGTCTGGACAGTGCTGATTGGGAGGGTACATGTGATCACTGCAAGGCCAAAGAAGAAGAAAAAACTCTGCACATGCTAAGATTAGTGTGTATGGCCAGAGTGACTTCTAGAACTCTCAGCAGATTGGGCACATTAGAAGAAGGGGAGGATCAGAGAATCCTCTACATTATGTAAAAAGCTCTCTGCTCCTGCCCTAACCCCTTGGGTTCCACAGTGAGTATAAAAAGTATGCTTTACTGCATATACAGACTGCATTTGAGATCAGTTAAAGTGTTACTAAACACACAAAATCAATGTGTTGTTTTGCAGTGTAGTGGCCCTTTAAAGTAAGTGTCCCAATTTTGAGATTGATTCCTCAAGTTAAAAAAAGAAGACTCAATTTATTTAAAGTGTTCTGTTCCCTATGGGACAAAGTAAATGTAGTACTATTAGCTAGATTGTCCCATCTTCCTATGTGATGTCTATGAGGGCGGACAGGGTGCCCCCCTTCCCCCATGGCTGCCTGAGCACACAGGTAGCAAGGAGATAGATGGCGGTTTTGACATACAGCACTTTTCTCCATCTCCAAGCACTTCCCCCACATTCCTCGTCAGGTGCTGGTCTGGGACAATGGCTTAGAAACAGAGAGAAGTGCTCTTTGCTGGCTGTGTTGTTGGCAGCCATTGGTGGGGGGAGCACCTTTTTGATCTCACAGCTAGCCTTCGATAGTACATAGGAGGATGAAACAAAGTACAGGCGTACCTCAGTTTACGAATTTAATATGTTCTGCGGGACATTTCCAATTACGAAAAAAATTTGTAAACCAAAATGTGGTTTCCCATAGTAATGCATTGAAAACCAGTTAATCCTTTCCAGAGGTCATAAAAAAGTTTATAAAGCGTTTTGAACAGATGAGACTTTTTTTTTTTTTTTTTTTTTTTTTTTTTTAATGCACTTTAAAGGCATAAATAATGTACAGGGCCATGATTAAAAAAAAAATTGTAAATGCATTGAAAACCAATTAATCCGTTTTTCATATTGAGAAAAAAATTTGTAAACCGAGGCATTACTTTCGGTGGATTTGTATTCGTAAACCAAAAATTACATCAACCTAGGCGTTCGTAAACCGAATATTGCTTAACCGAGGCGTTCGTAAACCGAATATTGCGTTAACCTAGGCGTTCGTAAACCGAATATTGCTTAACCTAGGCGTTCGTAAACCGAATATTGCGTTAACCTAGGCGTTCGTAAACCGAATATTGCATTAACCTAGGCGTTCGTAAACCGAATATTGCATTAACCTAGGCGTTCGTAAACCGAATATTGCATTAACCTAGGCGTTCGTAAACCGAATATTGCGTTAACCTAGGCGTTCGTAAACCGAATATTGCTTAACCGAGGCGTTCGTAAACCGAATATTGCATTAACCGAGGCGTTCGTAAACTGAATATTGCTTAACCGAAGCGTTCGTAAACCGAATATTGCTTAACCTAGGCGTTCGTAAACCGAATATTGCGTTAACCTAGGCGTTCGTAAACCGAATATTGCATTAACCTAGGCATTCGTAAACCGAATATTGCTTAACCGAGGCGTTCGTAAACCGAATATTGCTTAACCGAGGCGTTCGTAAACCGAATATTGCGTTAACCGAGGCATTCGTAAACCGAATATTGCGTTAACCGAGGCGTTCGTAAACTGAGGTACGCCTGTACAATAATTTCATAAAAATTGTTATGAGTTTCCTTCTTTAAAGACATCTCCTATCCAAGCTCATTAATTTTGGCTTTCTAGGGAGGGTGATTAGAGCAACCTGTTTATAAAAGTTTTACTTCCCTGTGCAGTTCTGGTGACAATCTTCTGGTTATTTATGAAAAAAGAAATCTACTTCTGTAAATGCCATTTACGCTTTAACAGCCCTTGTAAACCTGGGATACTAATGTGCTTTCGGTGCAGACTTTCATGTCCTTGTCCCTGGGTTGGTTTAACAAGATTTAAGGGAAGATGTTCCCCTATTACAGAATATTTTGGTATGCAGGTAACAGCCAGGAGACAGCTTGCCTATTCAGCTTAATAGCGCCCCTTAGTGGCAGCCGAATGACACAATCCCAGTCCCCGTGCAGGCTGTACATACACTGTAAAAAGCTGCAGCTCAGATGGGACGAAGGTATGTAGGGCTACATCGACACATGCAATGTTACTGAAGTCCCAAGATCTTTGCTAAAACAAAAATTATAATTTAAATGTTATTTTCTGAGAGTGGATGAAATGCTTTTCTTTTTTTTTAATGTAAATTGCTGTGGTTTTGTGAACAGTTGTCAGAGCCTGAAAACCATTGTTTGCCTGCAAATTTTATTACAAAATTGCTGTTTAACACTGCATTGTAATAAAAGATAAACCAATGTATTCATTGACTTGATTTTTTTTTTTTTTCCTACTAGCTTCAAAAGGAACTGGTCAGGGCACATATATTGGAGACTGCACAGCTGGTGCAGCTCCAACGTTTGGCAGATGCTATCTGCATAATCAGACCTGAGACCCGGTTCACACCAATTCTGTGCGGGAAACGCTACGAATCTTGTGTGTTTCCCATACCGCATTGCA